GTGTGTGTGTGTGTGTGTGTGTGTGTGAGTGCGTGTTTGTGTATGTGTGTGTGTCTGTGTAGGTTTTGGGTTGTGTATGCATGTGTGTGTTTGTTTGTGTGCATGTCTGTGCGTGTTTGTCTGTACGTATGTTGGTGTGTATGTTTGTACGTGTCTGTTTATTTGCGTATGTGTGCGTGTGCGTTGTGTATGTGCGTGTTAGTGTTTGTGTGTGTATGTGTGTGTATGTGTGTGTATGTGTTTGTGTGTATGTTTGTATATATGTGTGTATGCGTGTGTGTATGTGTTTGTGTGTATGTTTGTGTATGTGTGTGTATGTGTGTGTATGTGTTTGTGTGTATGTTTGTGTATATGTGTGTATGCGTGTGTGTATGTGTTTGTGTGTATGTTTATGTATTTGTGTACGTGAGTTCGATCAGCAACAAACCAAAGGCAACGTTCCTGCACAATTCAAACTATCATACACATAAGAAAAACTTAAATTTGCATACATTCTTGCACTTTTTGTTGTAGCCTGCCTTCTTGGGTTTAGTTTGAGTAAGAATTTTAAGGCACTTGCAGCTCAATAAGGTCATATAAGTGCGGAAGATTAGAAGTGTTACAAGAAAGTAACAAACACAAAAAGGAGATATAAAAAAAGATAGATGTTTGATAGGAAAAAAGGAGCAAACCACTTAAGAGCACCCGTCAACGACCGACCTTTATAGGTTTCAGATGAAGAAAAAAAAAGGAAAAAAATTGGTATGAATAACAAAGCGACTTTAATGAGTTAATCAGAGCGTTCTCAAGCTATAAACAGAATTCAAAACGATTTCAGCGTTCTTGGTGTTTCATCTCAGTGGTGGCCTGGCGCGTGTCCGTTGTGAAGATGTTGCGACTTTGTTTAAAAAAAACAAAAACAATACGAAAACTGAAATCCAAGTGAATTAATTATCTTGTTTTGTTCTTTCCACTTTGCTTTAATTTTTTTGTCCTTACTTTCCAGATAATTATTAACTTTGTTTTGTTCTCTTGTGTTTTGTTCTGTTGTCTTTTGTTCTATTGAAATTGGCAGTTTCAGTCAGTAGAAAACATGCCAATTTGACAATACAGAAAAGAATGTTCTAACCACAATCGAATCTGCTCTGAAGGCGGCCTGGGAAAGACAACCACCAGTACAACCGGCCACTCCC